CTAAGTAAGTTTTTGATTTTAATACAGGCTTAGAATTATAAAAATGGTTGCATAGCTAGTAGAGTCCTAGTTTATTAACATTTTCCCCTCTTAATGACATCTTACTTTAGTGGGGTATATTTGTTATAATTAATGACTTAATCTTGTTACACTATATGAAGTAAAGTCCACATTTTATTCAGATTTCTTTAGTTTTTACCCAGTGCCTTTTTTCTATTCCAGGGTTCTATCCAGGATACCACATTAGTACATTTGGTTCTAAGGCTCCCCTTGGCTTTGACAATTTCTCAATCTTTCCTTGATTTTGATGACCTTGACAGCTTTGAGGATTACTTGTAGAATGTCCCTCAGTTGGCACTTCCCACAACTTGGGTTGTGGTTTTGGGGAGAAGGACACCCGAGGCGAGGTGCCTTCTCAGCACATCAAGTCAGAGTACATGTGGTCATCTGACCTTGGTCACCTGGCTGAGGGGGTGACTGCCAGCTGTTTGCATGGGAAGGTCCTCTTTCCTCCTTTCCACACTGGGCTCCCATGCAGGAAGTCAGGGAGGAGTGGCAGTTAAGTCCCCCTTCCTCCAGAGGGAGCAACTATATAAATGATTTGGAATGCATGGGACGTTGTCTAGCCTTCCCTATGTAGTTACTGATTCAGTCATTTAGTTATGTCAGTATGGCTTGTGGATGCTGATTTTATACTCTGTGTTAGAACCCAATGCTATGTCATTTACTTTGTTGCTGAAATTGTTCCAGCTTTGCCCACTGGGGGCTCTTTCACTTGGCTCTGTGCTGCTTTGATGTACCCCATCAGTGTGTGGTTTTCTGAGCAGGTCCTTACTTTCTGGCACAAGGTGCTACAGGGTCATCACGTGCATTTCCTGCTCCAGCCCTAGAATCAGCCATTTCTCCAAGCAGCCCTGGTTTCTTTTTTAGACAATGGTATTAGAAATTAAGTTCAGGGTGCTCAGTGTGCTTGTCACTCGGATGGCGTGGGCTCTAGGCCCACTCTACTGACAAAACAAGGAAATGTATGTGTGATACTAATCCATTTACTCATATCTATGTTACATATATTAAGCCAAACAGGAGCTCACGCTGATGTCTGCAACCCATTACCACATGGATCAAACTTTGATTTTAAAATAGTAAAATAATTTTTGGTAGTGTTTTAAATTAAAACCCAAATCACAGGAAATTTAAAACCTAAAATAATTTATACTAAGGATATTCCAAAGTGTTTTAGCATCTTTGATTAGATGGATGAATATTTTTTTTTGAAAACTGAAAACATTAACTACGTACCTGATTAGAATCATTCTTGCCTATTTGGAATTAGGGAAATTATATATATGTATATACATATATATATGGCATGCAAATGGCTGTTCTGTCAGCTAAACATGTGTAATATATTTTTACCCATCTCATTGCCCCTGCTGAGCTTATTGAACCTGGAAAGACACCCAGGTCCTGGCAGGGACCCTCCCAGTTCGCATCTTTCGGGTCAGAGCCTCAGGCACTCAGAGGGAGCAGCAGGTGAAGGCCGAGGGAAGAGCAGACCGGTGCCCTGGATGCCTGCCTGGCTGGTGACTCTGCTGGTAACCACCATGCCCGGATTCCTCCCAGTCTGTGGGGTCTGCCTGTAGGGGGGAGTTTCTAACATATCCAACTGGTCCTATAGGTGGAGCTATTTTCTTACGTACCAGCATGTGTTTTGCAAATGTCCTTAGTTTCAAGGAATCCAAGGGGCTCCTTCAGTAGGGGTGCAATAGGAGGCTTGCCATTATTAAGGAGGCTTCTTGGCATCTTTCAGAGGCATTTCTTCCCAGGCTTTATAACCCTGTGCACGCAGGCTGCCTCTCTCCATGTCATCACCTGGCCCCTTCTAGAAAACAGCGCTCTGAATTGTGGCTGCAGGTGACCCTTCTGTGGTAGCTTAGAAATACTTTGTGATCCTATGCTCCAAAGAGGATATTCCAGAGAGGAAAATGGGAGTGTCTCCAGGTGGGCAAGCCAAGGACTGCTGCAGGCCCTGGGCGGTCTCCCTTGTGCTGCTGGTCACCAAGGTTCTTGCCCGGCCAGCCTGGATTCTCCCAGCCTTTCCTGCCTTCTCAGGGGTCTACACCTACCCAGGGTACCAGTGGGGTGTGGCCAGGCTGATCTTGAAGTCAGCACTGTTCCCCCTCATTTACCCACATGTGGTCTTTTTCCATTTATTTGAAAAGGCCCAGGGGATGGATCTGGAAGGCCTGTCCTGGTCTGAGAGATGGCTTGGCACTGTGAGGACACAGCAGGGTTGCCCATCACTGTGTCTGTCTGGGCCAGGGGCCCCACTCTCTGTCACTTATGTGTGTGACCCTCCTCTGGGCCTTCCTCCTTGTGTTGGCCACGAGTCATGAATCATGATTATGGGGATTTCTTCTCTCTGTTCTATGCTGCTCTTGTTCCAGCTTCCAGAGTTGTGCCTCTGTCACCACATACAGGCCCTGCCTCTGGCAAAACAGCTTGTCTGTCTCTCGTCAAGAGTGTTTTTTCTTTCCCAGGAACCCTTTCAGGGTCTGCCACCTCCCCTCACCCCAACCCCAACCCAAGCTGTCTTTTCACTGGACACTGGAGCCTTGCCTGGAACCGTAGAATGTCCTCCCTTCATGAACATTTGGCCCCTTTGTCCTCCCAACTTGGGTCTTCAGTGGGTTGTAACCCCTGAAGGCAGCCAGGACTTGTGGGTGGTAATCCGGCATGTATGGGGCGGGCATGGTATCAGGCATGTAGAATAGATGTGATACTGACAGTGGGGATACACGGAAGAGAGATGGACTGCATCATCCCAATAGCAATATGCTTGGGGTAATGCATGCAGCAGGTGGTCAATGTGGAGGAGCATTCCTCTCCCTTTCCTTTCTCCTGGCTTCTTCCCTTTCCTTTCTTTCTGGGTTTCTGGACACAGTGGTGCCTGTGTGTCCTAAGGGCTGTGACATGTGACATGCAATACCACACACACATACACACATTAAAGTACACACCCTTCCAGGGTGTTTGTGAGCTCCCTTCCGGAACATCTTTGGATCCTGATCCAAGAGACCCATTTGTTGAGAATCTTCCACCAACAAGCAGTTTGCGGGGAGTAGCAGAATGCAGTAGAGACATGAGCTTCTGTCTTAAGACAACCCTAAGGTGGAATTCCTGATCAGAGACCAGCTAGCTGTGTATCTGACTTTGCTGACAGCTGTGTATACCTGACTCTGGACAATTATTTTATGTCCCTGGGCCCGGCTTTCATATCTGTAAAATGAGAAGACATCTTTCTGCTGTGTGTCCCTACAGGTGGTTGTGGGGACAATTGAGGCAATTCCTGTAAATGTGCTCTGATGAGTGGGAGTCTGAACATTTTCTCATGCCTCTAGATAAGCACCAGAGGCTGGCCACCTGCCCCTCTCCCCTCTCCTAGCTGTTGTCTCACACCTGAAAGAGACAGTCTGGGAAGTCTGGGAGCCCTGCAGATGCAGCCCTGCCTCTTCCCTGAAACCAGCTGCCTACAGGTGTGGGGGTGTAATTAACGGATGGCCCCCCAAGGGCAGGCATTTTCCTTTCCCCCTTAGGTACATGGAAAGAGCAGATATTTCCATCATAGGAAGTAAGAAAAATATCTCGTTTCCCCACTTTTGTTATAAACAATGTACGACTTGCTTTCTCCTTACTCCTCTTGACCCTCCACACTGTATACATATTTATATATTATTCATAGTGGATTAAAAATGAATGTGCTCTTTACCACGGCTCTACGGCACAGTGACAATACAGATTAATGTATGATGTACTTACTTTTCGCGTGGCAGTGATGGGAAATGTTGATGGCCTCAGAGTGAGAGGTAGAGAGAAGGGAATGAAGCGGGGTGGGTCGGTGGGGGAACCCATCTGTCTACACTGTCAGGGCTCTGGACTGGGGCTGTTCTTGGTCAGCTGTGTTGCTGCAGAGCTGGAAAAGCCTTCCCACTTCCATTCCTCCAAGGAATGAGGTCCAAGCTCCCCAGTGGGTCCTGTGAACCTGGAGCCTATCCAGCTCCCTGACCAAGCCTTACCCCTAGCACACTGACCTGCTACTGGCCTGCACCTGGGGTCCGGCCTGTCCTTCCGTGTGGAGGAGCATTCCTCTCCCTTTCCTTTCTTCTGGCTGCCTCTCTCACTCCTTCCTTCTATCCACCATCCATCCACTTCCACCCATCCATCCATCCATCCATTCTGTGCTTGAAAAATACTTGATGAACATGTGTAATAGGCCTAGCACTGTGCCAGGTGGTGAGAAACAGTGATAATAATACCCACAAAACAAAACCCCACATCCCTGTGCCACGGAGCTTATAGTCTGTCTAGTGGGAAAGGCAGATGTAATTGTGTGTGTGTTCAGCTACTGGTGCTGGAAGCTGCACTGTGGAAGGGAAGAGTTTGCTGTGAGGACCTCTTTGCTGTGGTGGTGAGTCTGGGCTCGTCAGGGAAGGCCTCCTGGGCCCAGGCAGCCACTCTGAAGCATGTGGTTACTCTACTTAGGTGTAGCAGGGGAAGGAGCCTTCCAGACTGAGGAAACAAGAAAGGCTGGAGCAAATGTCCTGTGGCAAAAAAGAGTATGAATTATCTGGATAACAGAGAGAGTCCTGTGAGTCAAGAGAGCAGCAAACTCCAGGAGCTTTCAGGGAAAAGAGGGTGGTAAGACATGCTGTGGCTCAGATTCCTCCCAGCTGAGCTCTTGGAACCCCCAATCTCCTGGCTGTATCACAGACCGCATTGCCTTAAACTGTCTTGGGCTGAGCCTCTCACCACAACAGGCCCCTCAGAAGGAGACATCCTCTAGCCCGGGGCCTGACCCACACCCCATCCCAACTGCACATTTGCTGAACTTCATCCAGGTGAAACACAACTGTATAACTTGTTCCTTTGGACTTTGAGGCTCTTTCAGTTTCTCAAAGCCCCCATTCAAAGGCAAATGCTCTGAGGACAGACAGTTATCTTAAGCGTTTATTAAAGACCACAAAAGCAGGCTAGCATATAACAGTGACATGTGAAACACTTGTTGAATCATTACATTTGGTGAAAAACAAGGATAGCCTCCCCTGACCAGGCTTAGATAAGCAAGAAGCTGACAGAAGGAAAGAAGCAACCATAACATGGCAAACAGCTGACATTTGTAGAGTTGTTCATTATTTCTGACCGGCCACATTATCTCATCTGATCTGCACAGTGCTCGTATGGTGCAGGCATTAGTAGTAGTCCCCATTTTCCAGGTGTGCAGACTGAAGCCTTGAGAGATGACGTTCCTTACTCAAGGAGGAATCTGCCATCGGGGTGTTAAGTAGCCTCCCAACATCACAAAGGGGGAAGCTATGCTCTGAAGACCCAAGATCCAGGAGGTCACTGAAAGCAGAGCAAAGGTGCCAAACCAAGATGGTACCCCATCTTCATATTCGGCCAAAGGGCCCCTGGATGTGGTGCTTCTCAGTAGAATTAAATTTGAGAGAGTTCATTGTCCTGATGGTCTTCTCTGATGGGGGACTGATGGGGTGCACGTCCTTTTTCTCTTAAATTCAACCATCCTGAAAGGCTATTGGACTCTCTTGTTTGCTTCGTAGAAGTTGATGAGCATCAGCGTCTTCATTGCCACCTTTAGACTCAGGTGAATGGCTAACTCCACGTCCAGTGTACGAAGTGGCATGAGCTGCAGGACTGGGCTTTTGTCTCATTAACATGGGATGGATAGAATTTTGCAGAATCCACAGCTCACCCAAGTGCTGCCCTGTCACCCTTAGGGCTATGTGGGCTTCTCCTCTGGGGATTGGATGACCTGTCTCTATGGAGATCTTATTTCCTCTGAGCCCCTCATCCACCTCAACAGAAAAGCCAGACAGCTCCCAGCCGCTCTCCATGGGACCCTCTTGCTGCCTCTGCCTCTGGGTGCGTCCCTGCCATCACGAATATCATGAATATTCGAATAGTACGGGGTATTCATGGAGCGCTCTGCTTTGGGGGTTGCTCTGAAGCCCTGTTTTATATTCTCTGACCAAAAGCTAACAGACCTCAGCATTGCTGTGTTTGTGCCAATATCAGAGGCTTCACAGGCACAAATGGTGGAGAGAAATTTGAAACTTTTCAACCAGATTTAGCTGGACTCAGAATTGTATCCGTTTCCAAGAGTGCTTTGCATGAAGCAGTTTTCTGTTCTCATTACCAGAAGATCCCATCACCAAAGGATGAACCTCTCGCTTAGGGCTGGCTCCTGGGAGGGCACAGTGCCTTCTTCTGACCATCACAGCTTCTCGCATCACCCTTCCTCAGAGTGGACCCCTCATTTCTTTAAAGAACTTTCTTCCCTATCAGTCTCATGGGACCCTTTCAACAAACCAGTCAGAAGGCTGTGTGTTTGTGTTTGTGTGGATACTATAACAACACATTGTAATCATGGTTCTTATAAGGATTTTGGAGAATTAGAGGATCTGAGTACTTTATATTCACTGGAAATTTGTTTTGAAGTCAAATCATCCAGGTTCACTGTACCTTAACTTCTTCATCTGTTTTGTGGGGGTTGATGTTACCACTTGACAAAATTGCCATAAAGCTCAAATATGAGGATAAATATACAAAAATATATGAGGAAAATTGTGAAATTCAGGTCTTTGAGATCTTCAGGTGCTACTGTTATCTACAATGTTTCTACTTACAAGGTGCATTGCAAAGATAAGGATTTATCATGATTCCCGTATTATATATCTGTCTACAAATGTACACATGCATAACATCGCTTACATTTACAAATGGATTTCCATCTCATCTAAGTTAAAACGAAAACTCCAAAACAAATGTTTTGACCGCTGGTGTCTGTAGATATGCCAGAATTATTGTACATCTTTGATTCTACCAAGAAAAAGAGATTCTCAGATATAACCACAGGATAAAGTCATGGTTCATATTTTAAAATCAACTAGTGGGAAAAATTTACTAAGTGCTTCTATTCCAAGTTGGCCGATTCAAAAAGGCTTTTATTGTGAATAAAGGTGATATTTGAGGTTCTCCATTTGGTTTGCCAAAATGCGTGGCTCGCATGATGAAACAGTTTGAATGGAGGGTGGCTTCCAAAGCCTGAACTATAGAATTCAACAGAAATATATTACTTAATAATGATAATAGAAGATATAATTAACAGCTTTGACAGAAGGGAAAAAGCAATGAACGAACGGAAGAACCAGTATGAGTCCTGGTGACCTGAGGTAGATTTATTAAACAATACCATGGTTTGGTCATTTTGTTTCATAGTTCTGCTAGCTGTTTTTGATCATAGTGCCAAGAGGTTTAGCTTTACTTTTTTACATTTATTTATTTATTATTTGGAGTTCTTCATGCCAAAGACTGGTCAGACAATGATATTCTCAATCGGTAACTTACTGCCATGCAGTTGATGCCCTGGGGGGTTGGCCCCAGCTTCCTGTGAGCCATGGTAATCAGGCCGGAGACCACCCACTGTCTGTGAGTCGACACAGAGCTGCCCTTGGTAGAAGCCCAGAAAACATAGTTCACTTCTGAGAAGCTTTAGATGAAACTTCAGAAGTGCTTCTTAGGCTTCCTAGGGTCTCAGCTCTTCTCTGCAGGTCCTTCGGATTCTCTTAAATTGGTTCATGTGCCTCCAGCTACACATTAGGGCCTGCCTTTTTCCTGCTCAATAGCTGTCCTGTAGAGCACCTCAGATACTCTCTTACTGAGTCCTGGGCACAGCTTAATATCTGTAGGGATGAACAACTTCATAAGTTGGATGGTTGAGTCTTGGGATCTGCTTGAAACTTCCTGAAACCCAGCTTTGCACTGAGTTAGATTCACTATTATCATGGGGGGCTGGGTGAGTATGGCTTTTTCTACCCCTTTGCCACTGACTGGCATTCTGGCCCTTCCCCTCTTCCCCTAACTCCAGTGTGATGAAGAATAGGGCCATCCGCATTCTCTGTAAAGATCCTAAATCCACATCAGACATATGAGTCTTAGTTCTCTTTCCCTGTCAAAGCCCCAAGAAGACAGGGCCTTGCCTATCATCTATGGGAGAGGTGACCAAACTCTAAGGGTGGTACTGGGCAACAAGAAGGCCCAGGGGGAGTGATGCTGGTGTATCTTTCTTTTACCTGGCAGTCATGGTCCAGGTCCCTGTTCTTGTTGCTGTAGACTTTGCAAAAGGGCCAATGGCCAAGGGCTAATTTTTTTTGGTTTCACTAGTTCTTAACTGCAAATTTCACAGATTTGAAAATTGGCTTTTGTACGTGGAAAAGTTGGTCAAATTCAGCCTTGTGTTAAGTGCAACAATAGAAACAAAAGAAGCAGAAGCTCTATCCAAAAATGTATAATTCCTCCAAAAAGAGACAAGATGAGGCAGTAAGATAGCAATTCAATTCCACAAATAGTTCAGGGCTACTTGTTCTGTTCCAGGTAGTAGGAAGGACACCAGTGATTCCAAGATGGCTATACTTCCTGCTTCAGGAATTCACAGCCCACAGGGGAGATCAGTATGTACACAGCAGTCCACAGAACAGGCAGAGACTAGAAAAGGGAATGGGGTTTGTTCCTGCAGAAAATGGATGTGGTATTTTAGGGAAAGGTTAGTGGAGATTCTGCAGAGACCACCTAATGGTTTGGTTTGATGTGGGCAAGGGGGTAATGCTCCATAGGAAACTGGAGAGGTGTCTGAGACTGAGCTAGGAAGGTCCTGATCATTCCTCAGAGGGCAGGAGCCATCAAAGATTTGCCTCAAGGAAATCACAGCTGAGCCTCTGCTTTAGGAATGCACTCTGGTATCCTGGGTGAAGGTTGGCTGGAGGTGGGGAAACTGGAAGCATGAAGGCCTCCTGCAGGCTGCCATGGTCACAGTCTAGGCAAGAGTTGGTATACACTGGACCAGGCTCTGAAGTGGGGATTTGAAAGGAAAGATTCAACAGGTGGAATGGATTCATGCTGGAGGCCAATTGGTTAGGAAGGAAGAGGGAACGAACTAACTTCTGAGGCTCACTAACCAAGAATCAAGAATCTAGTACTGTGTACAATGTGCTGGAAAAGTGACTTTCAGCTCCAAACATTTGGTTGGCCTCCAGTTTCTCAGGAACAAGACTACTTTGCTAAGTAGATACACAGGACTTCTGTTATTACTGCTCTGGAAAAAGTGCTGAGCATGCTGTTTTCTGGGGTAAATGGTTAGGCCCATTTATTTACTTGTTTATTTTTCTGAGTAAATGAAACCCAGCCCTGGGCCTTGACCTCTCTGGGTGCTGGGTGGGACAGCACTCATGAGCTTCCAGGAATGGTACAACAACAGCTTCCCAGCACTGGGGAGAATGCAATTGTTCCATTATAACTTCCCAAACCAGATGCTCTGTCGGTTCCTCAAGATGGCAGACACGTGTGCATGTCTGCCTTGCATCTGAATAGGGAATTGAGCAGGGAGGATTCGGTAGATTCCCATAAAAAATTTCATTTGATGTTCTGATTTAAAAGGGCTTTTCTAGAAAAGTTTGATTTCAAGGTTTTACTATTCAATATCTAACTTCTTTAAAACTGCATTGGCCTTGATTATCTGATTGTCCTGGTTCCTGCCTGATACCTTCTATTGTCTCTTAAAACCCTGAGTTTCCGCAAATTCTCCAGCTTAGCCCTTCTGGCTGTGCCCAAGAGCAAGGTGTAGAGAACATCCGTTTCTTACCCCACCCCAAACACACACTCCCTCGTAATGTTTGGTTTGCTTATCAATGAAGAGTTAGTTCATGGGGGGATAAGAAAGTGAATTGGCTTGGTGTTGAGACCTCAGTCAGAATCCTAGAAGAAGGGGATTTGGGTTTTTTTTTGTGTAGCGCTGGGGTCAGCAAAGTACAGCCCAGAGGTCAAATCCATCTACTGTCTGTTTTTGTATAGCTTGTGACCTAAGAATGATTTTTACATTTTTAAATGGCTAGAAAAAAAAAACAAAGCAATAATAATATATCAGTTCACATGGAAATGATGTGAAACTCAAATCTCAGTGTTTATAACATTTTGAATTTTATCAACAAAAGATTGGAAATTTATTTCCTCATTTATCATACAAGTACCTACATGGTATCTTTGATTTTTCCTTTTGGCCTGCAAAAAAGTAAAATATTTACTATCTACCTCTTTATAGAAAAAAGTTCCAGGTGTTGGGAACTTTCTTCACTGTCACCCAGAAAGTCTGAATTAAAAAGTCTGGCTAGGATAGAAAGAACTTTCAAATCCCTAAGTTATTTTTGTTTAGTAATTTATTATTTATCCAAATAACTTATTATTTGTCCAGTTAGACATACTGGTTATTTTTCTATACTTTGCTATTTGATTTTTAAGAGTAATTATAATCGTGCTATTGATAATATTGGTAATAATGATGATGGTCTTTTGAGCCCTGGGGACAGGACACAGGGTAGGCAGCCGACTGACCAGACGCTCTTTCTGCCCTCAGGTCACAGGCCTTTCCAGTGCCGCTACTGTCCCTACAGTGCCTCTCAGAAAGGAAACCTGAAGACCCATGTCCTCTGCGTCCATCGCATGCCTTTTGACAACAGCCAGTATCCTGACCGCAGATTCAAGCGTTCCAGAGTCGACTCGGAGGCTTCTGGAAATTTCGAAGACCCCACGGCTGTCAAGGCGGGGAGCTCAGCAGAGCTAACGGAGGAGGGCTACAAGGCCCAGGAGGAGCGCAACTGAGCAAACCCACCTGTGTATTGCAATATTATTTTACACAGTTTTAAGATTATACATCTGGTAAAAGAGTTTGCTAACTGCATTCCAACGGGAAAAAAATCATGTACAACCTCCCTCACCCCCACTAGTGTATAGAACATTTAAAAAATTTAAAAAGATATCTATATATATATATATTAAAAAAAAAATCCCCAGCCCTTGAAAATGGCTGCTAAACTGTTACCCGGCAACAAGTACTTCCAAACAATGCGGGTAGGAGCAAAGCGATTTCAGAAATGCTTGGTGTCCTCCAAGCTCGAGAAAGCTGGGGGCCCTTCCATCTCTAATGCTGTCTTTGTCCAAAAAATCATGCATTTAACTGAAAAAATGATACCATCTAAATGATTTAGTGTTGCCTTGAAGATGGAGGGGCTGTGTTTTCATTGTGGAAAACACCTCTATAATCTGACACCAGCTGCTGTCATTTGCCTAGCACCCTAATGAGATGTGTTGGGCGGCAGCCGTGGTGCCAGTCAGACTGGAGCGGTCACTGCAGAGAAAATCAATGCACGTGGTGTCGTAACTGCACTCTCGGAGAAACCTTAGACGGGCCACAGCCCGAGCCAGGGCTGACCCGCACTGCAGAGGATTGCTATCTTAAATGTGCATTTAAAAAAATTTATACAGCCAAATGAATCAATGGTCAGGAATTGTCTGCAGACAAATGTCCATTGCAGGTTTGATGAGTAATTCCTTTTTTAGATCAAATTGCAGTATTGAGGGAAATACTTTTTTCCTGGGTTTTTGTTTTTTTGTTTATGGGTGCAAAAGAAGGTGGCTAATAAAACAAATTAGGGGTACATTATATAAAATGTTGTTTAGAAAAACTAGCCAACCTTATCCATAGAAGGTGCTGGTGAGAAATGGAAAGTTATGTAATAATAATAGAAAGATTGTTTTTTACTATGATTTAAAAAATTTTACTTGAATGAATGCTGCTCCGTTCCTTATTATCAGATTATTTCAAGTGTTAGTTTTATAAGTGTCACAGACATGAAGCAAGATTTTCTTCTCCGGCAAGCTCTTATGAAATAGCTTGTATTAAAATATGAATCTAAACATCCTGCTCTCTATCGCTAATGAAGAAAACTGTTTGAGTTAAAATGTCTGTTTTTGTAAAACAAATGTGTTCTATATTTTTGTAGATTTTAGATTTTCTACTGATTGGATACTCCAAATTTATCAAGTTCTGCACCACCCGGAGGGAGATTTTTGAGGACCAATAATGAAACACTTAGCTCATTTTTTAAAAAAACGATTTAAGAAGACTAGTTAAGGGTTTATTCTTGAATCTGCTAGAATGGTATAAAAGTTCAGCCTCAAGACATACTTCCTTTGAGTGACACAAAATTGGTGCTGTTGCTTGTGATAGTAGAGAAGTATTGAAGTATTAACTTCTGCGAAAACAAAATCATTCAGACTTAAAAAAGAAAGAAGTCGATATTTCCTTGCAGGCTGGGAGCACAGAATAAAACCCCAGGGCCTTAAAAACTTCAGCTCTGCCTACAGCAGTTTACAAAAATACTAAACTGCAATCAATGTAAATAAAATGCTTAGTGTTATCCTGAGACCAGAAGGAATCTCAGGCTAATAGGGAATCGGTTTGCATATGCTGTCGAGAGGGTGTCACCCACCCAAGGTTTCAGTGTAAATGAGGTCTCTGTGCAACTTGGACCCATCTGGCATAGAGCAAGCTGCTTTCCTGTTTTTCTAGAATAGTTCTCACTGCCTTACTTAAATCGAGTTGATAAACTTAATGCAACTGTTTCTATGATCCTAGAGGAAGGACTGAACTGTTATTGGAAACTTTCTGACTGTAGTAAGCTTTAGGATTTGAACTGCACTACTGTGTTTGGTGACTGTGCCAGTCGCTTGCTTTCTGTGTGTTTGCCCTGCCTTTGGTCTCTTAGCAAAGAAAAATATAAAAAAGAAGAAAAAAAAAAGTAAAAAGAAAAAAAAAAGAGGAAAAAATAGTGGAAAAAAACGGGAACCACATTCCATTTCTAGCACTTTGAGAGCTTGTTCAGTATTCTTTTGTGTCTTCTGAGCATCGTCAGATGCGACAGGCAATAATTCTGTTTGTGACACTGGGAACATCCCTTCTTCTTTGTGGCGTGTGTGTTGATACCATTTTGTCCAGTGCTACCGTCCTTATTTCCCCCTCTGACACAGGCCTTCTTTCCAGAACATTTGTGACTTGTAATACAAACAAGTGACAGCTGCAGTGATGCAATGTCAGCTTCTGAATGTCATCAGGTCCTCATATCTAAACATGTCAAGTTTTTTCCCTGTAACTCCTGTAGTCTGTGATGCTGGTCATAATACTGTCTACATTCCTACACAAAGAAAAAAAAATCTATCTTGGAGGAAATCTGAGATCAATAGAGTAGAGGATTTTGTTGCTATGCTTGTAACAAGTAGACAACTTTGTATTTAAAGTTTATTCTTGGTCATTATTTATTATTATAATACATCAGTTGACAGAACTTTATTCTGGTATAGAAAGTATTAAAAGTTGTTTTTTCAGCAATGACTGTTTTCTTTCTGCTGTTAGAATAAAATGTCCTTGAAACAGTCCAGTTTTATCCAGTGTTTTACGCAATAAAACCTCTACCTCTGAAAAAAAAAATAACATCTTTTCCTATTTGCTTATGTTTACTAGGAGGAGAAAAACATTTTTTGCAGCTCTGTAAGGCTTTGGTAAGGCTTGGTCAAACCCCACTTAGAAAAGGAAACCGAAACTGTGCAGTGTTCTGGGTGGATGGTGTCCACAGCCTGTGCTTTTACAAATTGAATGAATCTCTCTGTGCAGCATCAACAGTGTGAGCGTGCATGCACACCCACATGCATGTGTGAACTATGTTTCTAAGGCTTGTAGACATCTCTTTCTCCAAGGTAAAACCTAGGGAAATGCTAATGATCTTCATATTATAGTAATTATATAAGACACTTAAAGCTTTGGGATCTATTATTCACCTTTACTGGTAGAAAGTTGTCTTTTTAAAAAGTCATTAAATGCAAGAAAGTCTTTTACAGAAGATAATCTACATTCTTCCTCCAGAAGAAAAGGAAAGGAACAAGAATAATATAGTCTATGGTATCAGGGCTAGCAAAAAAGCAGAGCTCTGACATTGATTTGAGAGGGTTTGAAGTGTGTGCCCCACACTTGGTGTACAGGGTTGCTTTTTGATTTGTTTTTGTCGATCTTGTTGGTTTGGTTTCAAAAGGGAGATTGTAAAGTGCATGCTGAAGCTGTGGAATATAGAGAGGCTACAGAAATGTTGCAAACAAAGGCATCCACCCACATTTCATAGGAATTTGTAAGCCACCATGTTTCTCTCAGGATGCTAAACCACTGGTATCACCGGATGGGAGCAGATGAATGAAATCTTTGGTAGTCCTGACTGTCCACTGTTACAAACAGCAAAGGTGAGTTACGAGGTTATAGTGAGGGGTCAGGAATTGACCCCATCAGGAGGTCATAACTCCATAAACTCCATGATGGATCCCAAACCCAAATGTCTCCTGGGACCAGGCAAAACACCTCGTGATGGGCAGAGGTGAGTAGGATGCAGGGATCTCTGGGTTGGGTGGAACCTCAGCAACTGCTCATCATCACCAGGAGGAATGTGGGGACATCAGGGCTTCTGAGTTTCCAACAGACACTGGACACCTAGATTTTGTGTGAAGTCTCCTATTTTTTGCATGTTGGCCCAAAATGTGTTTTAAAAAACTGTAATAAATAGATGAACAAAATGTGGTTTATGCACAAAATGGAATATTATTTGGCCATAAAAAGGAATGAAGCACAGATACATGCTACAATGTGGATGAGCCTTGAAATATTATGCTAAGTGAAAGAAGCTGGTTACAAATGACCACGTATTATATGACTGCATTTATCTGAAATGTCTAGAATAGGAAAATCCATACAGACAGAAAGTAGATTATTAGTTGCCAGGGTTGGGGGGAGGAGAGAATGGGGAATGACTGCTAATGAGTGAGAGGCTTCTTTTTGGACAGATAAAAACGTTCTACAATTAGATAGCAATGATGGTTGCCCAACTCTGAATATACTAAAAACCACTGAAATGTACACTTTGATAGGGTGAATTTTATGGTATGTGAATTATATCTCAATAAAGCTGTCATAAAATAAAAATAAAACTGGAAGGAGGCCTTTTTAAGAAGCATCAATATACATTTCTATCAAAATATTTTGAACTCTCATATAGTCATAGACAACTGTAGATAGGACTTTGTAAGAACTACAAAATTTGGAGTGTACTGACTACATCTGAACCCTAGCTATGCTACTAACTGGCTGCTTGATCTTGAACAATTTAACTGCTCTGAGTTCATCACTTGTATCTGTGAAATCATGAAATTAAATGCAGTACAGTAGGGGAAATTATATGTAAGTCGTGTAAAGTACAAAGGCTAGAGAAATAGTCACGGTTGTAGTGTAATAAATTGTGGATACATTTGAGACTAATTTCACACCCACAAAACACTATACCCCCAGTGTCTTGGAAAGGCTCTCTGTGATCAGGCATGAGGATTTCTCCACACTCTCCTCCTTCAAACAAGATGATCTTGGACAAATGTCTTAAATTTTTTTTTCTAGTTACCCTGAAAAATCAGAGTATTAGCACTTTTCTTGGCATTCTCAGGGCATTCAAGGGTAGCTGGGGAGAAAGTGGGATATAGTGAGAAAATGACTGATCTTGTGGTTCGATATTACTACACTCTCTTGTTCAGGGAAAGCTTATAGAAGACCTACTGTGTAACAGGCCACCGGCTTCAAGCTGGAGATAAACAAGTCAGTCAGGAATCAGACTTCCATCTGATAATCACACAAACAAATACAAAATACCTGGAAGAAGAGATTCAAAGGTAACATGGATTTCCCATGTCACAGAAGACTTCCCTATGCGGTGGTGGTGAACTGGGGTATGAACAGGAGCATGCCAGCTAGGGGAGCAGCACATTCAGAGGCCATGCTGGGCACGGATGGGGCACTGAAGCCCTGTCTCCATCTCTCAGTAACTGGGCAATCCTGCAATCAGTCCAATGCCCCTAATCTGCTTCTTTATCTGTAATGTGGACAATAGTGTTACTAACCCAAGGTCCTTTCTGAGGTTAAATGACATTACACACATAAGGTGCTGTGCAGACAGCAAACATGGTACCACCAGGTTCGAAGGACTGTTATGTCAAGTGACAACAGCTAGGAACACACCTAACATTGAAATGCAATACATTTGAAGATGTGTGGCTTTCTGGCTCTTTTCAGAGGTCAGCCAAGATATGAAGTGACATAGTGCCATCCAAATGACTTCTTTAACAGATCTGTAGGATCTAAGAGAACTGTTAGTTTTCACTTATGCCTAGGGGCCTCAGTCCCCTAAAGCAGAAGTGGGCAGGCATCTCCTGGGCCCAGTTCAAGAGCTCATATGGCTGCAATTCATCCCTCTGTGGACAGGCTTGGCCACCCAGGAAGCAGCTCCATTTGCTGGAGGAGTCGACATATGATGACAAACATCCTGATTTGCTTGGCCTAATAGTTTTCCCCAGGACATGAGACTTTTCAGTGCTCAAACCAAGGCAGTCCTGGACAAACCAGAATGGTTGGTCAGCCTGGGTTTAAGTTCACTCTCTCTAAAGACACAAGTCTGTGCAGAATCAAGCTACTGCTGCCTGTAACCAGGTGGCCAGCGTGAGGCCCATCTGGGGAGCCAAGGAACTCAGAGAACAGCTTTGGCAAAGCAAGACTTGGAATCGAACTTTCCCTGTCTTATCACCTTTGCTCTAAGGACAAAAGGTGACAAGGTGCACACAACACCTCACAGTGCACCTGGAACATGGTTGTTACTCTTTCTATTCTTACTGAGGGACTGAACAAATCTTTGTTCCTATTTCTGACTAGATGGGGAAGGACTCAAGTGTGAATTTCTCTTCCTGGCAGCCAGAAGGTGCTGAGCTGCTGATATTCAGTGTTAAGGTACTATTTTGTGCTGAAACTTTTATAAAGATGATAACCCTGCTGTCTTTTGTAGTTTGGGATTTGCACACTCCCCCCTCTCTGTTTAACATCTGTATTGTAACAGTATATTATGAAAACTTCACCTGGTGTATTGTAAGCACAATCCCAAAGAAATTAGTGTTACATATTGTGATCTTCTTTTCAAGATAGAAGGACTGGGCACGTTCCACCAAACTAGATGTATGTTTCTATGGGGAAGGAAAAAATTCCTAGTGTAATACAATATTAAAAATGTCGCCCAGCTGAGCATTCCATGTAGGGGCTTGTGCAGAGTTTTAATCTCTTCACCTGTTGGTGTTCAGAGAAAAGAGAGAGAGAAGGAGGGAGGGAGGGAGATAAGGAGGGAGAGAAAGGGCTTCTGTGAACAGGGAAATCACAAGCAAAGAGGAGGGGGAAAATTTAAATGATCCCAGACCGAACTGTTTTGCTGTTAATACAGAAATACAGTGCAAGACACATTTAATGGGCTCTATTTTTTATTATACTATGCTGAATAATTAAGTTTGAGGCTAAGTGTCACATGGATTTATCTTTTAATTAAAAAAGCATGGTTCACGCATATTTGAGTGGTAGTCCAAATAAATGCAATATAGAAATTTATGTTTGTTTATCTAGGTGTTAATTACCTAGAGATTGTTCTGGATTACTTCTTTTTATAAAGTGTCATAGGCTCGTGTCAGAACGAATAAAGCTTGCCCATGGAACCTTATCAATTTGCTAACTATAGTGCTGGTCTGACCTGAAGGGGGGTAGGGGAAAACTTTGGGGATCATTATGTATACATACACCCACATTCAACCTACGCCAAATAAAACAGTCGTTTTAGAAAATATTTCTAGGACATAAAGGCACAAATATATCTTTGTTGTTTTACAGCCTCTTGTCCACAGCTATTTATAAAACATGTGATTATTTATGCATTGGGTTATGAAAAGTTCGGCTGGAAGAGGCCGTGAAGGAGGCTCCATCAATCAGTCCAGTTACCTGAATTCTAGCGAGGTGGAGACAGGGCTTCCCAGTAGAAATGGGGCCGGACGGGAAGTTGGCTGCTGTGACTTGTCTAAACTATGTCAACCTCGCTGCTGCTCCCAGCAAAGGCAGACCTAGGGAGAGGGAGGGATAGCAAAGTTGAGGGTTAGAGGCCACATTTTTAAAACTCAAGGATGGACACTGAGAAAGTGAAACCAGAAGCCCTCACAGTTGTTCATCGTACCTTGGGTCAGCCTCTGCCTTTTTCTTTGTTTACAAAGTGATTTTTGGTGGCAGGTTCAGTCAAATGGCTTGGAAGAAACCTTATGGCCTTGGTCAAAAGGTTTAATTCCAAAGAAACAGATTTTCCAAGGGCAGGAAAAACTCCAAAGGGATCTGGAAATACCTAAATTTGGCTCACTCCTTTGTCCGGGCGGCTTGTTCCCTTGTATTTTCTGCATCGCCTGCCCTCTCTCTAACTGTGCACCACGCCTCCATTTTTGGCTGTCAGATCACCAGAAAAATCAACAGAAGTAACTGCGGGTCCCGGTGGGCTTCACCAGGCTTGGTGGGCCTCTGTCTCCGGGATGCAGGGCGAGCAGGCGGGGGACCAAGGCCGGCACTCAACCGGGCTTCAGAGGGACCATTGGGAGCCCCCAAACGGCAAAGCAGCTCAACGTGGAAGCTCTCTGCTGGGTAGGGTTTCGTTTTCAATTTTTGCTTCCTTCGTCTGGGAGACCCGGTGGCCTGCGGGGGCGGGTCGCTTGGCCTCGAGCGGGGGCGGCGCCAGGCGGCGGAGCCTGGGGCCCCCGCGTGGCTGCGGGCGGGGAGGGCTTCCTCGCGCAAACCCTGCCCTGGGCCCTTGAGGGGTCTGAGCCAAAAGAGTGTTGGGGGAGAACACTGCTGTCCCCCATGGGCCGGGAGGGCCGGTCCTGAGGCAAGGAAGGGGACAGACGCGCCCGAACGGGGCTCCCTGCGGCTTCGGGCACCGCGGACGGCGCGCAGATCCTGCGCGGCGCCAGCTGATAGTCCCGTTACCGCGGATAGCGTTCAGTGTCTCACATCTTTTAATTATTGACACTTAAACTCAGTTTTCCTCCCAATCCCTGCCTATTTCCTCCCTGGAATCATTGTTGTTATGAGAAACGGGCCCCAGGAGCACGTGGGATGAGTGGGGGTCTGCTAGGGGGAGCAGGTCACTCACTGTGTCTGAGCCCCAGGTGCTGGGGACACAACGGGGGATAGGAGAGGAGGGTCCCTGCACCCCTCAGCCCCTGAATCAGACAAAAGAGGGATTTGTTGGAAAGTAGGGGTTGGAGCCCCTTCAGAACAGCGGTCAGAGAAGACCTTAGCGCTGAGCTCGCTCTGAGAGAGGAGTTGTGGGCTGGTAGCAGGTCCAAGTCGGTCTTACTCAGCCCTGAAGGGTCGTGTTTGAAGGCCCCAGGTATAGGGGAGGTAAAGAAAGGGGCCCTGCAGGGCTTCCGGGTCCAGGCCATTGGTCTGGAATTGCACGGAAGATCAATGTGCCTAAGACTATCAGCTTTTTTCTTTTTAAATTTTTGAGGTGAAATTCACATAACATAAAATTAACCAGTTTAAAGCCTAACGTTAGTTCAGTGGCATTCAGCACATTCACCATGTTGCATAACCACTGACTATATTAAGTTCCACAACATCTTTGTTACTGTAAAAGAAAACCCATACCCATTAGGCAGTCACTGTTTATCTAGCCCCAACCCCCAAACACCAGTTTGTTTCCTGCCTCTGAGGATTTACCAATTCTGGGTATTTCGTATAAGTGGAATTATTCAGGTTATATATGACCTTTAGTGTCTGACATTCCATTTAGAATGTTCCCAAAGTTCATCCACTGTGTAGATGTATCAGTATATTATTCCTTTTGATGACTGAATAATATTCCACTGTATATTATACCACATTTTGTTTTCCTATTCATGGCCATTTGAGTTGTAGTCAATATCCTTTCACATCTTGGCTACCTCAAATAGTACTGTTATGACCATTTGTGTACAAGTATTTGGGTGCCTGTTTCAGTTATTTAAGGCATATACCTAGGAGTGGAATTGCTGGGTCATTGGGGCCATCAAAGTGTACCAGGATTTTATTCAACAAAACAGCTCATGTCACTTCACTGCTTAAAACCCTCCTATGGCTTCCCCTTACATTAGAATAAAACACATACTCACTACTGTGCCCTTAGAGGCCCTCTGTGATTTGTTCTTGCCAATCTCACTAGCTGCATCCTCCACCTCTCCCTCAATACCCACCATCTCTAGCCATGGCTTTTTGTATATCAGACTTGCCAAACATGTTCCTGTCCCAGGCCCTTTGCACTTGATGCTCTCCCACGCCCTTTCCATGCTGGGCTCCTTTCCCTGTTTGCATTTCAGTTCAAATGTCCCTCAGAGGAGCTTTCTGTCACCACTGTCATCCCTGGCTCCTGTGCCATGCCATAGTCCAACATCTTAGTTCTGTCTTCCTTGTGGCAGGAATTAAGTACTCTCTAAAAATATACCTTGTTTACCCTTTGGTTTACATCCTGTGGCATAGCTTACTAGATGGAATATGAATGCCATGAGATCAGGACCTATCAGTACCCTGGTACAAACAATCCCTGGTACAGAGTAAGACCTCAGATAAACACTTATTGAATAAATAAAAATTCCCAGTCCAATTATCTTTGATAGTGATTACTAGAGTACTGCAAAAATTTTGTTAGCTTAGAAAAGAGAAGTTCCTTCAGCAGCCTCCAGAAATGAGGCCCCAGTCAAAGAAGGATATTAGCTACATTCAATAGCAGACCAGCAATGTCCTCCAGAACTTGGGGGTGCCCTTCTGGCCTGTGGTCTGGATATGTGTCCATGGGTGGGCAGGACGAGCTGCAGTCCACTGCACTGACAAAGCTGCTCAGATATCCCTGAGCACCCAGTTCACCTGAGACTAGCTTCCCAGGCACGATGGAAGGACTCACAGCTGTTAAGAGGGTAGCTGCTGTCAGGAGAGCGGGATCCAAGTCCAGATTTGCTGAACTGGGCATGTGCCAGTGTCCCACTGAGCCTTAGTTTTCTCATCTGTAGAAGAGGCTGCTAACATCTGCCTTACAGACTTAGTGAGAGCAACAAATGAGATTATGGAGCACTGTTTTGCAAATGGAAATGTTACACTCATTAGTTATTACCACAACTATTCATATGAAAAAATATGTGTGCCCTGTCGGAGCCAAGGTGTGGGCAGGGAGGATGGAGCCCCGCAGCCTGGGCGGCATCTGCTGCGGCCACCCCAGCTCCCTCTGCTGCCCTGTTGACCCTGACCACACTCATGCCTGTGACCCTGGGGTCAACGTCTCCTCTTAATGCCTTTCCATTTCTCAGTTTGCTGACTGGGGTGATTTTTGGTGAGGTCCACATAAATACTTCAAAAATAATTCACGATGAAGAGGAACGCTTCTGGAATGGATGATGGCACGACGAATTAAACACTTTATAGGGTTGAGCGTAAATTATTTTAATGCATGTAATAGATCTGCCCAAGGAGACTTGAGCCCCTCTAGGTCATGCCTCTGTGCCCCCAGGGCCCAGAGGGTGGTGGGAGCAGGTGGCTGGGAGCCTGCTTGCTGGGGCGTGAGTCATTTTCCTCTCCAAAGACCTATTCCCCCAGCACTTAGGTTCTCCTAACCTGAGGAAAGAATGGAGAGGTTTCCACGTCTGACCAGGCAAAGGCCAGAGCCAAGAGACAGATGAGGGAGTGTGAGAACATTTGTTAGCAATGATAATGGCCTGACCTGCACCCTGCCTTCCCTTCATTGTCTGCTGCTCTTCAGGGGGTGAGGAATGCAGCTATCTAGCACCAGGCATTTAAAATATTTTGTTTCCCTGTGAAAATGCTGGGCAGCAGGACTAATTTTGCACTTCAGGTCACCAACAGGCAACATTTTACATTTAGACTCACTGTATGTTCATGCAGGAAGAAATCTTAGATTATTGTGCTGAACATACCCATTCAAGAGAAGGGAAAACTGAGAGCTCAAAGAAGCTCAGAATTTTGTGCTCCCTAACAGAAAATAAACACAATTGTTATCTCTAAAGGCTACCAAAGCAATATTTGAGTAATATCCAAAAATTGTTGTTGTGGTTTTGTAATTACTGGAGTAGGCTTGTAATACCAGAGGAAAGAAATCATTGATTCCAGAATGTGCTATTCTGACCCCTTATGGTCAGGCAAAGCATGGTAACAGTGCTCTATGTTGATCAGTTGTCTCATATCTGGAGAAAAGCTTTTATTCAATCAACATTTAGTGATCTTGCATTAGTTCTAGGGTATGTGCTGGACATTGGCCATATAACTATGCACCAGACAAGAGTTCTGCTCTCAGGAAACTCACAACTGCTTGATGACCTTAGGAAGAACCCAAATCAGAAAGCTGCAGTTGCACATGCAATGTACGGCACTGAGTTCTGGAATAGTCTCCTTCCACAGATAGCTCCTTGATGGCCTGTCCATCTACCTCTGAAATTGCACCCTCAGTGTTGGTGCCATTGAACTTAAGAGCAGCAGGAACAGAAAATTAGAGCAACTGCTTCCAGGGAAAGCATTATAAAATGAGATAATGGGCCTTGAATGAAGAATAGGGTCAGGATGTGAAGGGCTGAGGGAAAAAGGGGGGCAGGTTCCAGAAGGAAAGGTCAATGTGCCCCAGAGCAGAGATCGAAAGGCTCCTGGTGGGCTCTGTGACTAGCAAGCAGGACGGGAATACAGGAGCCCAGACAGCGGGATGACGTTTCTGTAGGTAGGTTTGCACAGGATGCCCCCTACCCCTGCATTTTCCTAGTGTTTTTCATTGTCATGTAGAACAGGAGGGGACTGACAGATTCTGTTACTGAAAAAAGTTAGACTGGCTGGTAAGGAAATAAATCATACCAGCCAGGGGGATTTTCAAATGAAAATTAAAATTGTAGCCCACAGAAGGAATCTTCTTATTGTCCATCAATGGTGTAAATTGGGTAAATCATCTCCTCCATTAAGACTTCTTTGTCCAACTCTGGGATAATTATTTCCTCTCTGTGCTCCCAAAGCACATGGCTCTGGACCAGAGTCTCAAGCAGGTTCTGTTTGTCCCCACCTGGACTGGACTGGGTCAGATGAGTGGGAGCCTGGGCTGCTTCATTCCGGGATCCATGCTGACCCATGTTGCAAAACTCTTGTATGATTCTTAGTTCCATCTATATGAATAATTCCTAGTTTCTTCTATATGAATAAACCAGTTTTAAAATCCAGACTTCTTGATTTTAGGTTCAACATAACCACACCATCTCCTATTTTAAGTTTCTGGAAGGAAATCACTCAAGCATCAAAAAT